GGTGATGTGGTGGTCATGTTGATGATGGTTTGGTGATGGTGATGAATATTATGATTATAATGATGGGGTGAGGTGATGGTGATGTGGTGGTCATGATGTTGTGGTAATGACAGGATTATGACGATGGGGTGGTGATAATGTGATAATGTGATGATGCATGATTATGATGATGTGGTGAACATGATGTAAAGATGACGTAAAAATGATGGTGTGATGGTAATTGTGATCATAATGATATGGTGATGGTGATGTGCCGGTGATGATGTGGCGGTGATGATGTTGCGATGAAGATGTTGTTGAGGATTTGATGATGATGATGCAGTGATGATGGCGCCGAGAATGCAATGGGTGAAGGTGATGAATTCAATTCGGTGTCTTGTTGTGCGACTGGGACCCAAATACTAAGATAAATAATAGGAGAAAAAAGGTTTTCTGAGACCATGGCTTTTTTTTCTGAACACAGATAACAGAAGATGGAACAGCAAAGCTTAACCTCTGTAAACCAGAAAAGCCATTCGAGGAAACAGAGCTAGGCATCCCTTTCCACATTTCACCAGAGATGTTTGCGAAACACGCAAAGAGTAACTCAAGTAATAGTTATGATATCTACGCCTTCGGCTCTCTGTTGTGGGTTTTATGCGAGGGGTCGGGACGGGTTCGACCCCAAGCCTACTCGAGGTGTATTGATATTGACGCAATGAAGAATGCAGTGTGTGATGCGAAAATACGCCCCGAGCGACGCCCCGAAATGCCACAATCACTGTGGCAACTGATGCGTCGCTGTTGGGACGAAAACTTGGAAATTGAAACTGTGCTAACTGAGCTACACGAAGCTCGATCAGCCTTTGAGTAGTCTTTAATTTTTGCAGTACAGGTCTTGAGATTTAGAAAGCATATAAGGTATTTTGTTATTTAGTCTTAGGCCAAAAAGAAGACGGCATTGGACGGCTCATGCGAAGTTTTCCCTACATTTCTCAATCTCTTACCCAGAGCACACGTTCCTCTTTGTCAGCACCGAGAAACGTTTATCAGAGCTGACCAAAAGAAACGTAGGCTCTGGGTACGATCTGCATGATTTAGTTGCCCATGGTTTCCGCACATTTGTGCATAAGGAAGAAGCTATTTCTCTTCGAAACAAAGAAAATTGGTCGTAAATTGAGCAACATTTGCTCTGCAACGCAACCTTGTTGCGCAGCGTTGGAAGACATTATTACCCGTATTCCCGCACCTTAAGTATGGACCGGATACGCGTTGATAATAATAAGTACATTAATGTCAAAGTGCGCATTTGCGTGTTGCGAATCGTTATGCGAGATGTTCAGATCCACTCTGTAATTTATTACGATATCTTCGAGCTGTGATAAAATCACATCGCATATAGTGCTGTGTTCTACTGGAAGTTTACACAGATTTTAGAATATTTCTAATTGGTCTCACATACGTTTACAAATTTGTAATTATTAGAAAGTGAATTATCAAAAATATGAATATAATTGAGATTGGAATTGGTTAAATTTCCATATTCTCACTGGAAATTAATAAATAAATTTTATCAGAATTTAAATGATCTATAAGTTGTTGCTGATCATGAGCGTGAAACTTGTAATTGTAATCAATAATACCCATGTGCATCGGTATACTCGTACAGCAGTTAATCGTGTGTGCGCATGCTTACAATTTTGTGCGTATCTCTAATAATATCCTTGTGCATAATTATTCTTGTACAGCAGTTAATCGTGTATGCGCATGCTTACCATTTTGTGCGTATCTC